ATGTCTTTCTAAATTCCCGTCTCTAGCCCGGTTATGGATAGTTAGCCTTTTATGTCTAAAAAGGGTTGCTAAGAAGTAGTGTTTTTACTTTCCATTCATTGCTCAACATGTTTTCCCAAAAAGTTAGGATTTAGAGAAGGCCACTGTAAGTCTTAACAAGTCAATACTGAAAAGGTTGCTTAATTGCATTGTTGAGTGGTTAAACCGAGGAGAGGAGCGCCTTAGACATAAGGGTTCCGCTTAAGTAGCCTAGACATAAGACCTTAACCCGAGGTTGCGACTATTTCCATCCTAAAACTAAGATATATCTCATAATAGACATATTAGGGAATGTCTTAGGACTTTGAACTTGCTTAGACATAAGTAAAGCGTAGTCGTTAGTTTCTAAAGTAAAATGCATATTATCCTTATCATGTCCTTGATTCTTTATTGGCTAACTTGAAGTAAATCGGGCTAGGTTTTATTATTATAAGTCCAAATCCCAAATCCAAAACCATTATTTGTGACCACTTCCCATTTTACAAGAATCACTCATTTCAACAYTCACTATTCTTTAAAACTTYAGAGTTTGGAAATTATTTAGAAGTCCTTGAGGATCGATACTTGGATACTCCATCCATTTTATATTACTCTGACAGGTGTGCGCTTGCATCTATATAATTGTTACCACGCTTAGTGCGTGCGTTCAGCATAAACACCCAGTCAAGCATCATAGATAATCCAGTCACCAAACCTCGGATAAATCGAACCCCCTGGAAGTCAAGTGTCATGCCACACAAAACAACCATGATCATCTCCAATAGCAAACTGAACCAGAGGCCAAAAAGCATCCCGGATAGAAACAATATCCCACCAACACCAAGAGAACCAAGGCAAGCACGGATGATCCAAATACAATCCCGCCCCGAAGAATATAAGCCTCCACCCAAGCCACCCAAAGAGATCTCGCTTGAGTAATGAGAAGCCAAAGCAGCTTCATTATATCAGCAGAATTCCAAGAGGCCAGGTGATGAGCACACCCAAACCACCCTCCTACAAAGGAATACACACCTCAGACCAAGCCACCTTAGTCCCCGACCATCCGTTCTCGTGCCCCTTCCACAAGAAAGAATGCAGAATCTGCTCGACATCATGAAGAACACGAGCCGGAAGGATAAACACACTAGCCCAATAGACCTGGAAACTCTGCGGAACCAACCGAATAAGCAGCAACCAGCTAGCAAAAGAAAGCATCCTAGCCGACCAATTCCGAACACGACAGATAATCCGCTCAAGCAAAGGCTTACAATCATGATGAGAAATCCGGCGCGAAAGAAGCAGAACCCCAAGATAACGCACAAGGAGCGACACCACCGAAAACCCTAAGAAAGCTGCCAACCTATCCTCCTCCACAACAGGGAGGCCCATCCCGAAAACGAGCTCTTCCGAATCTTCAAAAGAAACCGACACATCCTTAATAAAAGATAGAGATCCTTGATCCCTATACGAGCAAATCATCAAGTCATCTAAAAAACACAAGTGCATCAGGCCAACTTGTTCACACTTCGGATGAAAACGAAATCCTGACGGCGCCTTATTCAACACCCGAGACAACACCTCCATGGCTATAACAAAAAGGTATGGGGAAAAATGATCCCCTTGACGCAAGTCACGACGTCCTGGAAAGTACCCCTCAAGCGCACCACTCAAAGAAACCGAGAACATAAGGGACGTAATACAAGCCTTAATCCAATTCAGAAATCAGGTCGGAGTCTTAATAGCCAACAAAAGGCCGAAAATGAAGTCCCAATGAAGAGAGGTATGTGATTTTTTTTAAATTCTTATTCAATTATATATAGTTATGATGATAAAGTATAATATTTTGGAAAAATCTAGGTTTGTCAATGGATTTTTCAATTGGACATTTAAAAAAAAACCAATTATAATATTTTGAGGTGTAAAAATTTGAACCAAACTAATAAACTAAAATTGAAACAATCAAGTTAGTTTCGTCGATTAATTATGTCAGTTTATTCAAACCAAACCAAAGTTTTAAAAGATATTTGTATATTGAATATATTGAATTGTTGATATAATTTTTCAATTATTTTTATTTTACACAAGATAAGTGTATATTTGACATTTAGTAATTTTAATGCAAGTTCATGTTTAAAAAAATATAAAATAAAGAAAAATAGACAATCACATTCAATAGTATTTTTATTAAATAAATAAAATTTAACCATAATTTTGTAATTAAAGCAATATTTACAAAATTCTAATTACCCATATTTTCTCTCAAAATCTCATATTTTATTTCTTTGTGCAACCAATACCAAATGTCCATCTCCCACAATCTCTAGTCTTCTTCAATCACAACCATCATTGTCACCGTCTTATTGCTTGCTACCGTCACACTGGTACTCGTCGCTACTACCCACTGGTGCTTCGCTACTACCCTTTTTGTAGCGATCCTCGCCAATCTTGTTTTTTCAATAGAAAAAGAACTTAAAACAAATGTAGTAAAAACAAAAATAAAGATGCGTAGAATCGAACAAATCAGAAAGAGAGAAACTCGCATTGACCGTACTTCGAACTTTGTTATCCATTTCTCCTTCTCATTCCTCAATTGTATTATTCTTGTTCGAAATCAACCTCTCTCATGTATGCAATGTTTCGTTGCATCTTCTCTCAATTGCTATAAAATTAGATTTGGAAAGTTTGATTCTATGTCTTGTATTCATATATTTTAGGTGGAATTTTAATAGTCATCAGTTTTAGTACAATCATAAAAACAATAATAAGTAAATTGGTAACGGTTTATGTGTTTAATTGTTAACGTAGTTAATTTTTCAGTTAAAAAATAAATTAAATTTTCATATTAAAAAACACATAACTTATTTTAAAGGTATTAAAACAACTTACTTGTTGCACGAAGATGCCATATCGTATATTGGTGCAATTCAATTTACTAATTTTATATTTTTAAAATTAGTTTGAGTTTATTTATTTGTAATTAATCAAAAATCAAAAGGCTACTATTGTCCAAAAATGTTTTCAAATATTCTATTTTTTTTAATATAATTTAGTTTGAGTTTATTTATTTGTAATTAATCAAAATCAAAAAGGTCTTATTGTCCAAAAATGTTTTTCAAATATCCTACCTTTTTAATATAGTATAGATATACATATAATATAGATATACATATAGATTACCTATCTAATAGGTCTAAATTTGAAGTCAATGGACTTACATGACACTAATTTACGTTTAATTTGAATATTGATGTATATATTTTTATTTTTATAAATATTATTTACTTTCTTTAATATATTTCTATATATTTATCATGGGTATTTGACCAAAAAAATATTTATACATAATAAATGAAAAAAATTAAATTATTTCAGGTTTAAATTATAACATTTAAAGTTCTAAAATTTATTTTAATTTTAAATTAAAAATTATAATTAATAAAAAAAATCTAAAATTGATTTATACTTTACTTGTTTTCTTTATTCACGGACCTATTAAACACAAAATTGAAAGTTCATTATTCTATTAAACATAAAATTAAATTTTATTTCTAATAAATCCATTATTAAAAAAAAAAAGAAGCATAATAGGCTAAATGCCTATTAGATTCATAATTGAAAATATAGAGACATATTAAACACTTTTAAATTTAGGAATCTATTAGACACAAAATAAAAAAAAAATTTAGGGACTTATTAAACACAAACCTAAAAGATCAGGCATTGAACTTGTAATTTAATCAATGTATTTCAATATTCAAGACAATTGTATATGTAAACTAGCTAACATGAATATAGATGAGTGTATAAGTTAATGGTTCAATTTCTTAGTGCAATTGTTGAACTAAGAAAAAAAAATGGTGTACTTTAGATTGTATTTGATTTATTATTATATGTCAAGATGAACATAATTCTAACATATCTTACTTCTTTAAGTCTAAGGTTAATCCCTCATAAGATTTTTTTTAGCCATAATATTTTAAACAATGTAAGAGAATACTTGTGTCGGAATTTTATTTAAATATTAAATTATTAAACTTTACTTCTAAAATATAGTAAAACAATACTAAAAACGTCAGTAGAATAAAAAGGAAAGTTGAGAATTTACATAATTAATTTCTTTATGTATTTGAGAAAGAGAAACGAAGGATAGGAAGAAAAAGTAAAGTAGTATAAATAGTAGTGAAGTGATTGTTTTCAATCGAGAAATCTTCTCCCGCAGTTGCCTTCTTCGCCCCCACTGGGCTCTATTTTCCTTTTTTATTCCTTTTTTTTGGTGTTTTTTTTTTAATTTTAATTTTTAGTTTTTACAAATTTTAATTTTAATTTTTGTTTTTCTTCTTCCTCCTCCTCCTGTCAGAGGCAGAGGACACTCTCTGTTCCTCTCCAACTCGATCTGTAGATTTTCAGTTCAGAGAACTCCGTATCCGTCGCTTTCGTTCCCTCCGATGGCACAAGATTCAACCCCTACTGCTCCAGATTCTTCTTCTTCTTCTTCTTCTTCTTCGTCTTCGTCTTCGTCTTCTTCCCCTTCTTCTTCTGCGCCATCGCAATCGGATCCATCTCTGTCTCGGAACTCTTCTCTCAGTCGTCTCAACGCGCAGGCTCCTGAGTTTGTGCCTACTCGACCCTCTCCTCGTCCCGATCTACAACCGCAGCAGTCGGCCCCCGGGCCACCGCCTCCTCCGCAGAAGCAATCGCCCAGGATTCTGATCCCTTCTCCTCCGCCGCCGCCTGGTGTGCTGCATGTTTATCCTCCGCATCCGCCGGGTTCTCCCTTCCATGTTCCCATTCAGAGTCCTGTGCCCGTACCCACTCGTGTGGTTTCTATTCAGAATCATCATTATCATCCCCATCACCGCCACCACCATCATTCCCATCATGTTCCTGTGCTTTATCACCCTCATAACCCTCAGTATTATGCCGATAACGGTGGGTTTCATGAGCCAGACGCAGTTGTGCAACAACCTCAGAAGCCTCAGGTTGAGTCCGATTATGCTGCTCCATCTAGAAGTAAACTCACTGAGGAAGTCTCCCAAAAGCTCTTGAATCAGGTCACCTTTTTTTGTTATATATATTTATCCCTGGATCCTGTATGTTTAATTCTTCGCTTTAAGTCATAATTTTGTTATCTTTTTGTGAATTTTGTTACCTTTTGTCAAATCTCTATGTTTAGGTTGCTTGGGTTAGTTTTTTTTTGAAGCACAGATACTCAAGGTGCAATAATGTTTTTTGAGCCTGCCAATTCTGTTACTTCTTTACTCCCATTAAGTTAGCTAGAATTCTTGGTTACTCAGGAAGGGTGTTCAACTGGCCGGGAATTCTGTCCTGGACTCTCTTTTTCCTGCTGCATAAATATTGTAGATGAATGGTTAAATAGATGGAATTGGCTTACACCGGAGAAGTTAAGTTTGTGTCTAGCTTGAAGGAATTGGTTAGGTGTTTCTTGAATCTTATTGTGCTTTAGATGGAACTGTGCTCATGTGGGGAGGTTAAAGGCCACTAAAACTAAAAGGACATTTTTGGTGTTGGCTAGAATCTCCTTTGATGATGGGGTTCCTTTTTCTATGTTTTGGATTGTTTGGACCTCCTTCATACCATGACATTAATGGATTTTGACGTGAGATTGAAGATCTTTATGGTTGTATTTGCACAAATGGTACTAGGTGGACATTAAAGAAATCTAAGATAATTGAAGATTTAAGTCTCCATGAGACTCCATAAAATCTACTACCCAATTTACACGGACGTTATGCTAACAGATTTGGAGCTCATATTGACCTAAAAGGGTCAATTTTTCATTTCGTCGGTTTGTTGGGGAGGGGCCAGCCCAAATAATAGATTGCAAAGATATCGTCCAAATATTCAAATTTCTACAAACTAGTGCTTGCAAATTCTTTGCAAGAAAGAGAATGAAACCCTAGACCACTTGTTCTCCTATTTTGAAATTGTATTTATTTACTTATCAAAAAAAGAAATTGTCTTGACCTATCAGAAGAAACCAAGCGTTCATTGAGAGGTATGAAAGAATGTAAAAGGGCATTAAAAAAAAAAGAACAGCCTTGACCTATCAGAAAGGTCTCCCATCCAAAAGAATCGCTCCTCACTGATAATTATTAAAAACTTTCAAAACTGAAGCTGATAAAGATTAAAGAAGTATTGAATCTAATCAACTCCCACCCATCCTCCCTAGATTTCTCACCCTTTAAAAGTTGTCATTATTCTCAAGCCAAATTCCACACAAAATTGTGAAGAAACAGGCCTGCTGCTAGATAAACCTTCCTTTATCCCTAAAGGGAGGATGCAAAGGACCTCCTTGAACATAGAACTACAAGCCCTTTTCTGCACCAAAGAAACCCCAAAACTCTTCAAAAAATGGGCCCATATGAAAAATGGATTGGGTGAATTGGCACCCCAAAGAAAATGATCAAGGTTCAGACTTCAGAGGTCCTTCGATACGACTTTGTGCAACACACACTAGTGAGGCTCGAGAAAGAGCAAAGAGTGCCTCTGAATTCAATTTAGGGTTTTATCTTTCCCATGCAAAACTTGCCAGATATAAACTTGTGATTAGACTGATGAACCTAAAATCCTTGACCCATCAACTTTTATCTTTTTTTTTGGAATAAGCTATACATAGGTTTCATTCATTGAAGCATCTATCACCCCCTCTCATGAATCTCACGAAAAAACGTTCCAAAGGTCATCTTTGATAACATCCCAATTATCCTAGTAGGAAGCCATCATAAAATCGTCAGGGAATTTGTAATCGTCAAACCCGTACACTACTTTCTTAATTTTTTCCAATGTGAAGGGAACTTTAACACTTCCCTATCCCTGAAATAGGTCTCCAATCCAAAACCTCCATGAGAGGTCCAAGGACAGAAGGGGCATAGAAGGGCGTAAAAGAGCTGAAAAGAAGGATAACACAAACACACCTTCCTCAATCTTAGCCTCCCCACTCATAATTTCCCCACACTCCTTGACAAGCAACTCAATAAGACTTATTCCTTCTGCAGCCTTGGGCGGGTGCAAGTCCTCCTTTTAAGGGAGTCTTCTGAGATTTGTGTTTCTCATAAACCTGAAACCTTCACAAGTCCCATTTACTTGTGACTGTAGAAGGGAAGGAGGACTTAAAGGAGGGATGAGAGAGCCACATCTTTTCAAACTCCACTTAATGAGTCCAGAAGCCAAAATCTGGGACTCAAAACTTGTCTAACCTGGTGAAACATCCCCATCCAATATTTTTAAAGGAGAAATCAATCCAACTTTAAATGTCAGTGACTAGCAATCTAGGATATTAATTTCTATGACTATGAGTAACCTGTGAAATTAATTGAAAGGAATATAAGTCTGCCAGAACTCTTCGAGTGGTTATTAATAAAAAAGTTGAATGGTTGATTTGTGCGTATTTCTACTATGTTTTTTAATTTCTACTTTTATTGGATATTGTTTCTATACGTACTTCCTTTTCATTTAACCTTAATCGTCTCATTGAATTCTTTACAAAATCATGGTTTTTAGGTGGAATATTATTTCAGTGATTTAAACTTGGCAACTACTGATCATTTGATGAGGTTCATCAATAAAGATCCCGATGGATGTGGTAAGATCCTCTCTTGGCATCTTATTTGAATTTCAGATTTCTTTAATGTGTGGATCTCCTGCTCTTTCCACCACAGGTGGATTGCTTTGGTAAAATTCACTGACTTAATGTTGATTTAGAATGACCTCTTAGAATTAGTTAACTGGACTCCATTCTCTCTTAAATACTTTCCCTGAGTAAGGTCCATTTTTATTCAGTGCCTATATCGGTTGTTGCATCATTCAAGAAGATTAAGGCTCTCATTAGTAGTCACTCACAGCTAGCCAATATTTTGCGGAAATCTTCTAAGCTTGTGAGTATATCATTTTCTTAACATCCTTATTTTTGCTCTCCTTGAATTATCCTCATTCTCTTTCTTGTTTTGTTCCCTCCTTGTTTTTTGGTTCAATATTCTGCAGATGGTTAGTGAAGATGGAAAGAAAGTTAGACGTAAACTACCTCTTTCTGAATCAGATATGGAGGAGCTGCAAGTAGGGTATCTTTTTTTTTTTTAAAAAAAAAGTTTTTTATTTAAACAATTTTTATAAATTTTAATTTTGGAAATCTTGTGGATTGGCCCTGTTTTGCTTTACAACATGTGAGATGATTCCATCCTTGTGTCAATAAGATATCATTGACTTACAAACAAACAAACCAATGCTTTCAATATTTGCATGTTATGTCTCTTGTTTTACTTGCCCATTGTCAGTCTCGCATAGTAATTGCGGAGAACTTACCTGAGGATCATTGCCACCAAAACCTCATGAAGATTTTTTCTGCTGTTGGGAGGTACGAGTGTTGCATAATTTCATCGCATGTTCTTCAGCAACTTGCAAAGTAATATTGAATTACCATGCTGCTTTACAATTTGGCAGTGTTAAGAATATTCGAACTTGTCAACCTCAAATCTCTGATAGTGGAGCTTCTTCAACATCTAAATCAGCAAAAGCTGATGGAATGCATTACAGTAACAAGGTATTCCTATTTTCTGCAGCATGGGGGATTTGGCCGTTTGGTGCAATCTTTCTCCTCCATTAACCTCTAGCATTGTAGGGACAATATATGATTTCTTTAAAATTTTTGTTGGAGGGATTGACCAAAATCTCTACAAGGACCTGTTCCAAATGAGGTGGGGAACACCTGTTTGAAATGGATTCAAAGTTTTGGACAGGGACAATTTTTTCCCTTATTTGATTTTGGGGATTCTGCCTTCCCTTTCGAATCTAACCCTGGATTTTATAAAAAATAATCTGAGGTATCTTCATTGATATCAGTTCAAAAGGATAGTTACAGGCAAGGTAATCAAACAGTTAAAAATACATGGTTAGCCAATTCGAGAGGGTTCATGTCTCTCTTTTCCCCATAAGTCACCGATGGTACATGAATGACAAAATCAATCTTATTTCTTATTATAAATGTACACCTACCTTACGCCATCTCCCAGGGGTGGTATACCTCTTGTTACTGTTTCTTGGAAATGCTTTTACAACAGACGGCCACCTTAACATTATCCCGAGATCAAAAGATGCCTTGTTCATAAGGTAGAAATCTGGAAACTAATGTTGAATTGTCTAGTGGTTCCCCTGATGCTTTGAAATTAGGAAGGTCCTTCCATTTAAATAGAAATCCCCATTAATCATTTTTGCCAATTGACTGGGTGGGAGGGGTTGAATCACAACACTTGATCCTATGCCTGTTCTGAGTTGAGATAAGTGGAATTGTCTTTTTCTGTTGGCATATTGCACTTTCTCCGCATCCTTCATGTTCTTGTTCATGCCTTGCCAATAGAATTTAGTTGTCGTGTTTCTTTTTCGTCCCCAAAAATCCTAATTGTCCCCCTACATTTTTTTAAGAAATAGATATTTCCTTGATCTGATGAAATATACAAAAGAGAGCGGGAAAAAGCATCCAAAAGATAATGGAAATTGCATAAAAGCTTTCCACTTAGCCAAGAGATTAAATAAGCTATAATTTGTAAAAGGAGAAAAAAATCATTTACACCCATATAAAGCTGAACATATTCATAAGATCTACGAAAAGGGAGAGTTATATTGTTGAAAATCCAATTGTTCTTTCAATCCACGAAGATCCAGGACAGGCTCTTATAAGCTGTAGCTATAGGATCTCCTTTTCCTTTCTAGAAGGGTTGCCCATCAAAAAATCAGGGAGGAAGACTCCCATAATGGATGGCAGAGCAGTACTCAAATGATGATAGGATGAGACCCAAAATTTATAGGCATTGTCACCCTACGTGAATCAATGCCCTTGAGATTCTGATTCCTTCGTATGGCATGCCAATTTGGCGAGTGTGCACAAGAGGGAGCCTTTGCTGGATGACATCTGGTGTACTAATTCTTTCATGGCTTAAGTGCCAACAAAAAAATTGAATGTCTTTGTGTTAATTGATAAGGAAAAAGTAATTATTTCTTATATTTTCAAATGTTGATACAAGGGTATAAGTAACAACTATAGAAAACAATTAAAAAAGGAAAAGAAACCTTTGTCTAATAGGATAAGAAAACACTTATCTTTTAGACAAGGAAACCGCAATCTATTAAAATCTAAATGCAATAGAAAAATAAAAGATAATATAATTTAACACGTTGGGTATTAGTCCCTCCCTATCTTATTGTAGAGCAGTTGGTTATGGGGAATGGGGATCATTTATGTGACTTAGCCCTGGAACATGGATAGCATAAGTAGAACGGTATAGCTGTTGGTGCAATCAAAAGGCCATATCCGTATGTGGACCCTGTCGGACTAGTGAATCTTGGAAACTTGTCGGATGGGTGAACTTCCACAAGAAAGCTCTAATGATGTTAAGCCATAGAGTTTGCTTTTCCTCCTTGAAAGGGTGCGTAGTTTTTCCATAGGAGTGCGAAGAACCGTGAATCATTCGAAGGAGGTGTACAATGAAGTTATAGCTGTACAATAAATACAACTATTCTCAATTCGTTCTTTTTTCATTTTTTCTCAGTAAAAAGTTCAGTTTCTCATAAAAAAGAAAGAGAGCTTGGCCATGATCCCACTTTGTGCTCTATGGAAGAGGCGATATTGGAACACCACAAGTGAACATCCTAGAGCTAGGGCTTATGAATGGTGTTAGAGTATATAGATTAGTATATTTTATATTCTTGTATTAATATTAATTTGTCATTTACCTTCTCCTTATAGGATTAGGTCAACCTTGTATATTTGTCTATATATATATAGACTTTAATAATGAGAATACATTACATTGGATTCTCTCCAACCTTAGTCTCTACTTGGTATCAGAGCTCTAGGTTTCTTGCCCATTAGGGTTTGGTGCCCATTAGGGTTTTGGTGCCCATTAGGG